GGGGTGGCGTGGGTGGGGGTGCTGCTGGCACTGGGGCAAGAGATGGGGCCGGAGCCTGGAGCGCGTCCCTCCCGCTCTCCCGGGGACTGACGTACGCTTTCAGGCGCGCGCATCCTCCAGACCTTCCCAGGCCCGAGGGAGCAGGCGGGGGAGGGGAAGGGGCTGTAGCGGTTCCCGCAAGGGGATCAGTGGCAGGAAGAGGTGACCCGCCTGTCACCCGCCGCCTGCGGAAGGCAGAATTGGCTGTCCCAGGCTGGCGCCCCCGACCGCCCCGGCTGCCGGGCGTCTCCCGCTGCAGCCTGCAGCCCGCCCGGCGCGCCCCCGCCCCGGCCCCGGAGGGCAGGTACCTCGGAGCCCCGGCCCCCAGGAGCCTCCCGGCCGTGGTCGGAGCGTCCCTCCAGCTCCCTCATCCGACGTCAACGTCAGCAGAAGGCGAGGGAAGGGGGCGGGGGAAGCGCAGGAACCGGTCCTTCCTGCAGCGGTGGCGGCCAGCCGGAATAGCAACCCGCGAAGCCGGAGCGCGCCGCAGCGCAGCGCAGCGGCCAGGGAGAGCGGGCGCCAGCGATTGGGGCGCCGCCACCGCCCCCTCTCCCTTCCTCTCACCTTCCAAGACGCCCGGCGGGGTGAACCTTCCCAGCAGGACCCCAGGATGTGTAGGAAGGATGTCGCTATGGCCTCACCTTGTTCGGGGCGGGTCCAGGATGGGGGGAGCGAGTCTCCCTCTCTCTCCTCCCTGGGGTCTTTCCTCGACCCCCATCTCCTGGGGTATCTCCTGCTCAGCTCTGCCGCCCAGCATGACCCCACCCCTGCTGTCTCTCAGGTGTTCCACGTGTCTGTAGCATTTGCGTCACAATGACCTGGCCGACAGGTGGGAGCCCTAGCAGAGCCCCACGGTTCCCTCTGTGCCGTGCGTAGTGCGTGCTGCTTGTTTTCACTATAGATTTCTGTGGCTTTAGGGGCATAAGACTTCATGACTTCAATGTCAAGAAAAGTTACAGAGGCCTGTACCTGGAAATCAAATTTGGGCTTAAACGAAAGCAGGCTGTGTGGAAAAAACTGTGTATATTATGTATATAATTTTATAATGTCCATATAGTTATATTACTTTTCTACTTAAGTTATTGATACTTATAATAGTTTAATTTTCTCTTATCTTCGTCATTAGGAAAGAACTAAACCCTGTTTAGAATACCCTGCAGTGATCAAAAGCGTGGGAATAGGTGCTTCCCAAAATTGTCTATGTATATACTGAAAAGCAATCCCAATGTGCTATGACTCAATCCCTGGTTATGGTATATATTGAATAGTCACTGATTGAAATTTAACTGGATGGAATAAAAGATGGTTATTGAATAAAGATGCAGCCAAACCTGAAATCCACAGCTGACATAAATGGGCTTCTTGCTGTGTTCCAGGCACATGCTATATACTCTACATTTAATCCTTACAGCAACCTAATACTGTAGATGAAATTATCATTCCCATTTTACAGATGAAAACACTGCCCAAGGAGCCACTAAGGCATTCAGCTAATAGGACATTGAGCAAGAATTTGAATCCAGGGTTGTTTGAACAAGAGATTTAGGTTAATCTCAAGATACAAAGGATCCTGGCTAAGATGATGGATAGAGAGAAATATATAGGAGAAGATGTTGTCATTTTTATAGAAAGGTAATAGTATAGTACAGCTCCAGAAATGTAAATAACCTTTAAAGTTGACATTATTGTTTGGGTACATGCATTGGGGATTCTGTTTGTCATGGATAGGTTTGAGCCTGTCCCAGTAAGGCACAAAATACAGAGCTGAGCAAACATCAAGTCCTTAATACATGTTTATGACTAAACAAATGCTGAATAAATGTGGTCTACAAAATAGCGAATTGTTGAAAAGCTGAGATTCAGGAGAAATTTTGAAAGAGAAAAACATTGTTCCTGCATTTGGCTCTTATAAGAGGCATTCAGACTGACCTATTAACAACAAAAGCTAAATGATTCTCCTGTTTGTAAGAAAGAAAAACAGAAAAAGAAACCAAAACAAACAAAAATGAAATCCTTAAAATAAGAAAAAAGGCTTCCTTGCAAAAGGACAGTTAAGATATTTTGTTTTAATATATGTGATTCCAAGAATCATCAACTTATGTGTAAAACCTCAGAAGTTTGAAAGAAAAAGAGATTATTTTTTAACAAAATGAAGTGCTATTTCTCACATAGTAGGTGCTCAATAAATGTTGGCTGAATGTATCAATGAGTTAATTAAAGCAGAGAGAAACAAATCACAAAATTCTTTGACTTTGTGTTCTCTTTTCCACCAGTGGTGATTTACTACTTACATGAAAATGTATTATAAATCCTGTTTATCAAAGACTAGCTTTGTGACATATATTTACATTTGTTACAACAATGTCTAAAAGTGAACAGATATGGACACACGCACTCTCTGGTTAACATGGAACTGAAATTCCTTAGGCTCCCAGAGAGTTTAAGATAAAGCTTTAAGTAACTTTTCATCATTATTAATGTTGTCCTAAAATTTAGAGTAATATTTGAGGAAGAAAATAAGAAGTTCATGCTCGTTCTATTGGGTCGTCGGGAAAGTCATGACATATTTTTCTATGTTTTCCAATGCAAAAATGCGTCATGACTTTCCAGACAACCCAATATCTAAGCCACAATGAGTGCTTTCCTTCCCATTTAAAAAACTGCTCTATCTCTACCACTTCCATTTGTTTCTGGGTATCAAGTTGTTGTTTTAATCTTGCAGAGCACCCACCAGATGTGTTAGTAAGGACTGAAACGATGTCTAAGAAGAGAATGGCTATTGAATGATGGAATCTGAAATTAAGAAGGAAATAATGTGCATTTTCTAGAGTGGAACAAGATGACAAAGAAACTTTTCCATAAAGAAAAAAAATCCTTATATATTCAATGCAATGATTTTTTATTTTTATTTTTTTTATTTTTTATGGTGGCTTCCCAGGTTCAAGGTGTGCTAATAGGACCACATGAATTAGGAATTCTGTTAGGCTGCCATTAACAGAGATTTAGAATAGCAGAGGATACAATGAGGTAAAGGTTTATTTTATCTCACATTAAAGCAATTGAAAAGTAGGCAGTCCAGAGCTTGTATGGCCTCCACTAGGTATCAGGGTGCTGCCCTCCTCTCCTTCCATTCCACCATTCTTAGCAAAATAATATTGCTTAAAGGTACATCCAAGCAAGGGTGTGGAGAAATAGGAACCTTCATACATTGCTCATGGGAATGTAAAATGATGCAGCCACTTCGGAAAACAGACTGGCAGTTCCTCAAACGATTAAACCTACAGTTACCATCTGACCCAGAATTCCACTCCTGGGTATATACTCAAGAAAAGTGAAGACCTATGTCCACATGAAAATTTGCACGCGTATATCTGTAGCAGCATTATGAAGACTAGTCAAAAGGTGAAAACAATGCAATTGTCCTTCAGTGGATGAATAAATAAACAAAATGTAGGATATCTGTATAATAGAATTGTATTGGGCCATGAGGGTGAAATAGTGATACCCGATGAACCTTGAAAACTTTATGTTAAGTGAAAGAAGCCAGCCATAAAAACCCATATAGTATATGATTCCATTCATATGAAACTCTAGGATAAGGAATTCTATAGAGACAGAAAGTAGATTAGCAATTGTTCAGGGCTGGAGAAGGAAATAAATAAATAAATATATACATACATACATACATATATATATATATGTATGTATATATTTTGTATATGTATGTTGATATATATGTATGTATATATTTTGTATATGTGTGTTGATATATATATATGTATGTATATATTTTGTATATGTATGTATATATTTTGTATATGTGTGTTGATATATATATGTATGTATATATTTTGTATATGTGTGTTGATATATATATGTATGTATATATTTTGTATATGTATGTTGATATATATATGTATGTATATATTTTGTATATGTATGTGGATACATATATATATATCCACATACATATGCAAACTGTCATCTACGTTAATACAACACATTTAGTGGACTGTTGCTATATAGGTTGAATATATATTTTTAATGCTATGAGTGCTCCTTGTGCTCTCAGCCAACATGAGCAAGTGAGGCTCTCCCTCTGGTGAATGGCTTTATGATGCACACGAGTGTCCTACTGTTCATTCCGACATGTTTATAGTTTTCTACAGCTCTGAAATCCTTTCATTTTCTGACGCATCTTGGACAGTATCATATATACTCATGGTACCTTTTCCTAGAGTAAGGATGCTAAGATAGAGCTTAAACTATTATTATGATCAATGTGTTTAATAAGAGCTATACATATAAATCTCTTCAAAGCCCAGCTAATTAAGAAGAAAAAAAATATCACTTTTCCTTCAGTTGCCTGGAGAATACAATTAGATAATCTATAAGAATAAACTGAAAATGTGGTGTTTTAAAAATTATTAAATTTATTGTCTGATTTTCATGAATCATAAAATCGTAAAGAAAGGTTCAGCTCAATTTTACTGGCAAAAATAAAGTCATTTATTCCCTCAATTGTGTAAGATTTAAAGAGGAATTAGATATATTCAAGAACATGGACTAAGTATCTTGACCGAGTTTGGTTTAATTCTTGTGATCAGTTATGCACAGCAAAACAAAGCTTCTATTACACTCTCAGCAGAATTAGTTATGTCTTTAAGCAAATTTGTGTGCACATGTGAAAATAGAACAAATGTTTAATTAAGAGCATTCACTTTTGTTAATTAAATTAACTTCCTTTCCCTTCAAAATTGAGGCTACAATGAAGAGAGGAGGCTTATTTTACACTGAGGAGAAAGGTAATTATTTTCATTGCCACAGCAGCTTAAATTTCTGAATAAATAATGCAGCTCCCCACCCCTCCACCCTCCAGTGTCATTCATTGAAACTTATTCAAGAAAAATCCTGGAAACTTATTCAAGAAAAATAAAAAAGGGACACCTATGCACTACAGGTGGAGAATTCTCTCTGTCATGTGTGTAATCATGTCATCTAGTATAATCCTGCTCTGAGTAGGAACTATGCTGGGGTTTAGGCAAACTTTAGCCTTGAGTTCATAGCTGTGCCTGGTCTTGGCAAACATAGCTCATTGGCCAGTAAAAGAACAGGTAACAGCTATGTACGATGTCAGAGGGGTTGTAGGTTGGGGGAGGGGGTTATCACTTTGTGAGGGGTGTAAATATCTAACTATTACATAATAATACTAAAAAAACAAGACTCAACTGAATGGTTAGGATGGAACTCTCTAGGTCTTTAATATCTCTTTCTCTCTGTCTCTCTCTGCAGTAAGAACTCGTGCAGATAGTAAAGGTAATTCAGGTGAAGCATTGGCCAAACATTTGGTGTAATCATGGGGTAAGAGGCTGAGTTCAAACTATAACCCATATATCCTAAATTCCCAATCAGATACAACTTTCCTCTTCTACTTTTAATCCCATCACTAACTTGCTTTGGCAGAGACTATTAGTCATTTACCAATATTTATTCTCCATTTTTTATAGTAATATAAATTTGAGCTGAGCATGTTGTTGCACAGCTAAAAACTATGTTTTCTAGCTTTCTTTACTATAAGGTGTCGCCATGTGACCAGGTCCAATAGGATGTGACTGGACAACATGCATGTAACATTTGCATCATGCCCTTGAAAGAAACACAGCCTCACCTTTTCCTTTTCCCTTTCCCACTGTTTGCATCACCTTTGGCCATGCAGGTGAAGACAATGCTTTGGGGAAGCCAAGGAGCCTGGATCCCTGACCACTTTTGATCTGCCTTACAGCCCTGGTCCTCCTGCGTGGACTGATTTATGAGAAGGAATGAAGTTCAATATTGTTCAAGCCACTGTATTTTTTTGGCATTATCATAGCCCAGACTTTATCCTAATTAATCCATGTGCCCCTTGATGTAAAATTAGATCTTCTTTTCTCATGAGGTTTGTGTTTTAAAACAATGATTTTTAATCTGTGGGTCACAGGACCATGATGGTCTTTGATGTTAATACAAAAGATCATGGAATTTGAATCCCTAATAGGTAATGTCTGCAGACAAAAACCTGGTTGACAAATAATGACTACAATTTTTGAGCTATGTATGATGTGGTTATAAAACAAAATTTATTTAAAATTCATTAATGAATTTCTTGAAATGCAGATATGTTGGTGATGAATATTTTAGCTTTGTACATCTGAAAAAGTAAGCCTTTTTCACCTTTGTTTTTGTAATATTTTTTTCTCTGATAAAGAATCCAGGTTGACTTTTCTTTTTTAGCACTTTAAAGATGTTGTTCCAGTGTTGCTTCTACCTTACATTGTTTCAGATGCAAAATCATCCATCATTCTTATCTTTGGTCTTCTGTGTGTTTTCCACCTATTTGGTAGCTTTTTAAGATTTTTTTTCCTTATCATTAGTTTAAAGAAGTTTTATTATGGGGGCCGGGTGAGTGGCTCAGTTGGTTAAGAGCTTCCTCAAGAGCTTGAGCAACAGGGTTGCTGGTTCGATTCCCGGTCCGAGATGAGCTTCCTCTGAGCTGCCAACAGGTGGCCGGATGGCTCAGCTGAAAAAAAAAAAAAAAGTTTGACTATGATGTCTTTGGTGGTGTTTTTGTCTTATATTTTTGGGTTTGTTGAGCTTCTTGGAGCTATAGGTTTATAATTTTAATCAAACTGTGAAAAATTTCATCCATAACAAGAATAGCCAATGCAATATTGAAGGAGAGGAACAAAGGAAAGAAATGGCACTCTCTGACTTCAAGACTTACCCTAAGCTACGGTAATCAAGACAGTGTGGCACTGGCAAAACAGTAGATGAATAGGTCAATGGAACAGAATAGAGAGCCCAGAAATAGAAACTCACAAATATAGTCATCTGCTTCTTGACAAGGAAACAAACACTATCCAATGGAGAAAAGGTAATCTTTTCAAGAGGTGGTGCTGGAACAATTGGAAATCTACATGCCAAAAAATGCATCTAGATGCAGACCTTACACTTTTCACAAAAATTAACTCAAAATGGATCATAGACCTAAATATAAAACACAAAACCATAAAATTTAAAAGATAACAGGAGAAAATTTAAATAATGTTGGGTTTGGTGATGACTTCTTGGATACAGCACCAAAGGCACAATCCATGAAAGGAAAAAAACATGAGTAAATCGGACTTCATTAAAAATTAAAACTTCTAGGGTGGGCCATGTGGTTCAGTTGGTTAAGAACTCACACCTGAGCAACAGGGTCACCAGTTCAATTCACGGCCCTACCTGAGCTGCTGCTAAGCTGCCAACAGGTGGCAGGATGGCTCAGCTAAAAAAAAATTAAAACTTCTGTTCTGCAAAAGGCACTGTCAAGAAAATAAGGCAAGCCACAGACTGAAAGAAAATATTTAAAAAAAATATCTGATAAAGGACTGTAATAGAAAATATGTAAAGAAATATTAAAACTCAACAATCAGAAAATTAACAACCCAATAAATAAATGGGCAAAAATTCTGAACAGACACCTCATCAGAGATGATATACAGATGGCAAATAAGCAGATAAAAAAGATGTTCAATATCGTACATCATTAAGAATTGCAAATTAAAACAGTGAGATACCACTGCACATCTATTTGAATGGCTAAAATCCCAAACATTGAAAACACAAAATACTGGTGAGGATGCGGAGCAAAAGAAATTCTCATTTATTGCTGGTGGGAATGCAAAATGACAGTCACTTTGGAAGATATTCTAGCAGTTTATAATATAAAACTAAACATGCTCTTACCATACAATCCTGCAATTGTACCTGGTATATACCCAAATGATGTCCACACAAAAACTGCACACGAATATTTATAGAAGCTTTATTCACAAGTGCCCCAAATTGGGAGCAACCAAGATGTTCTTCATATAAATGAATAGATAAACAAATTGTGGCACATCCACACAGTGAAATATTAATCAGTGTTAAAAAGAAGTTTGTGATTAAGCCATGAAAAGACATGGGGAAACCTTAAAAGCATATTGCTAAATGAAAGCAGCCAGTCTGAAAAGACCACACACATAACATGTGATTCCAGCTGTATGACATTCTGGAAAAGGCAAAACGAGAGAGACAATTTAAAAAAAAATCAGTTCCCAGGGGCTTGGGTGGAAGGAAGCAAGAATACATATTTTTTCTGAATATTCAATATTTTGAGTGGAATTTTGTCTGTTTTAGTTATTTCAGATGGGAGCATACATCTGATCCCTGTTATTTCATCTTAAGCAGAAGTCCCCCTATTCATGAATTAATAGTAACCTTGCATTATGTATTTTCTTGATCAGTATATATTCTATGTATTACTACTATTTTGTACAGGACAGTCTAGGGATTTTTTTGATATTGAAGAAGGGTCCTCATGAACACTGCAACTGAAATGTGGGCAATGGTCAGGGACAGGCAATTCATAAAAGGAAAAAGAGTAAAACTTTAAAATTACCATTTTTCAATGAAAAAATTTTCAACTTAAAACATTTTTACTTATCGTATCAGCAAACATGAAAAACAATGCTCAGGGTTAATGAGGATATGGGAAATGAATACTATCATACACTCATAAACAGAGGGTAGAAACAAAAGTTTTCCAGTTTTATTGAGAAACAATTACATACATCACTGTATAAGTTTAAGGTTTACAAAGGTGGTTTGATTTACATACATTGTGAAATGATTACCACCATAGGCTTAACTAACATCCGTCATCTCATATAGATACAACAAACAGAAAGGAAAATTTTTCTTCTTGTGATGAGAGCCCTTAGGGTCTACTCTCTTAACAACTTTCCTATATGTCATACAACACTGTTAACCATAGTCATAATGTTGTACATTACATCTCTAATACTTATTTTTCTTATAACTGAAAATCTCTACTTGTCACCACCTTCCTCCAATTCCCCTCTGCCTACCTCCATACCTCCACCTCTGGTAATTTGATCTCTTTTTCTATGAGTTTGGTGTTTTGGTTTTCTGCTTTTTTTTTAGATTCCACATATTAAGTGAGATCGCTCTGTATTTGTTTTTCTCTGTCTGACTTATTTCACTTAGCATAATGACTTCAAGGTCCACCCATATTGTTGTCACAAATGATAGGATTTCCTCATTTCTTGTAGCTGAATGTATGTGTGTGTGTGTGTGTGTGTGTGTGTGTGTGTGTGTGTGTGTGTGTGTGTGTGTGCACATGATCCCACATGTGTGCACACATGCATTAGTCTATTTATCCATCAGTGGTCACTTAGCTTAGAAACAAACAAAAAAAATACNTCTGTCTGACTTATTTCACTTAGCATAATGACTTCAAGGTCCACCCATATTGTTGTCACAAATGATAGGATTTCCTCATTTCTTGTAGCTGAATGCCTCATTTCTTGTAGCTGAATGTATGTGTGTGTGTGTGTGTGTGTGTGTGTGTGTGTGTGTGTGTGTGTGTGTGTTTGACATAACTTCTTAGTCTATTTATCCATCAGTGGTCACTTAGCTTAGAAACAAACAAAAAAAATACACTTTTATGTAACGCAATTTGGCAATACATACAAAAAGTTAATTGTGCATACCTATGACCCTGCATTTCCACTTTTAGGATATTTTCCTGCAGAAATAATGTGCAAAAGTGAACATAAGATGAGCATCACAACACTGTTTATAGCATTAAAACTTTGAAACAGCAAATTGTCTATCTAAAGGAAAGATTAGTTAACTAAAGTATGCTATATTTATATATGGGAACACTGACGACTTAAAAAATGAGGTCAAGATGTTTTTTCTTTTTTTAAGTGAAAACAACAGCTGTACAACACTGTGAAATACGATTCTGTTTAAGTAAATATTTTATATATAAATTAAAGCATACGTTTCTAATGATACTAAAATGTTAACTGGCTATCTCTGGGGAATGATCTATTTTGTCTAAGGTTGGAGGTTGGGGGAAATTGCATTTTCACTTACACTTTGGTAAACTTGGCTTTTTTTTCACAGGGTACATCTAGTATTTTACAATTTGCAGGTTCCTCTGCTGGTCTAGAATCTCACTTTAGGGTAGTGGTTCTCAAACTTCAGTGTGCCTGAGTAGCACCTGAGAGGCTCATTAACAATGTAACAATGAGGCTCATTAACCTCATCCCACACCTTGTAGATTAACCTTTGTGCTGGGACCCAGGATTGTGCCTTTTAAGTTATCTCCCTAGGTTATTGTGATGCACACTAAATTTTGAGAACCATTGCATCTATGGGTCCAAGAGGCCAGTGTAGCTTTGGTAAAGGAGCAAATACTAGGGGAGTGCTCACAAGGTCCAGAAACAAAACTCTGTAAGAAACTGTGTTCCCTTGAAATGGCTCCCACTGTGGGAAAGGTGGGCAGAACATATGTTCTGAGGACAGGGGTGGGCGTAAGGAGACAACGATTGCTCAAGGGTCTACCAGCGGGCACATTTTCTCAATGACCTCCTTCAACTGTTGATAAGTTTGAGGCAGTAAGACCTGTCAACTTTTGCTGCGAATCTCAGCATGGAGCCTCCTGGGTCACAGAAGATACTGTAAGTACCTACTGGTTTATGTTGAGGACATACTCCTTCCCTTTTCTTTCTCTGTCTTCCTGTCCTTCCTCAACCTGACCTTTTCCCATCTATTGTCTTTTTTCCCTGGTTTGTTGGTTTGTGGTCCACTCTTGAAGAAATATCCATCTAGAAACCAAAAGGAAAAAAATCTGAAATCTGAAATCATATCAATAATAATTAAATCCCTGAATTAATCTTCAAATTGCATCAATAGCTCATTAGATAATTCACTTTGGTTAATTTTTTTATTGTTATGTATAATTGTATTTAGCCCATCTTTAGTTTCATGACTGCTTTTATTTCCAACTGTTTATTTTCATGTACTAGTGTTTTAACACATCAAGGCCTTTGATTTCAGATAAACTGTGTTCTTTCTGTAAAACACACAATAAATGATTTTGCACTAAAATATGTTTGGTTGGTAGGAACACAGAATAAGAATGAATCATTGCATTTTCATATTCAGTATTTTATGTCCTAAACTTGTGAACTGTTAATTTTTTATGTTAAATCAGTATTGACTAAGCATTAGCCTCAGCAGTGCTTGAAGCCAGTAGAATCTTAAACTAGACTTTTAAAAAAGCTAGATTTTGATAAAAGTTGGGAAATCGATTAATCTTTTTCCAAAATGTTTTCATAAAACTGCCATTATATAGTATATAGAACTCTGTCCACTTCTCCTC